TCATGCACCAATCTCATACAGAACTGGAAAGTAAATGTCCTCCTTGGGCAACTGGATAAAATATGAACTATGCATTGGTTAAAAACACTCCATCAATGTAGTTTCCTTAGTATGAAAATTATATTGTGGTTATATAAGAGAATGCCCCAATTTTTAGATTTATTTAAGCCCTAGGTGTATTGATGTTTTCTCAAACGGTTCAGCAAATGTGGCTATTAGCAATTGGTAATTCCACATGAAAGGTATCTATTTATGTCTTAAATGCACTATTTTTGTTAATTTCCATAGGTTTTAAATTTTTCAAAATAAAAAGTTACCTGAGAAGTTTCAATGGAAAAAGTCATCAATGCCAGTGAAAAGTTGACAGTTCTGGGATAGGATTTCATGTCAATTTAACATATACATTATTTTTAGGTGATAATAAGTTCAAATAGTTGTAACACTAGAATCTAAAACATTCTAAGTATTCATTAGTACAGCTCTGGAAAATTTAACTTACAAAGAAAAATCTGCAAGGCAGAACGCTGTATTGGGTTTGTTTTGAGCCATAATCATTGTATACAAATGCAGAATTTGATATGAGGCCTCTGAAAATTTGAGTGAAAAACATGAATAAATAGGTTTTAATCTAATGATAAATTTCATAAGAGTAGAGACATATTTTCATTCATATCTACTACTTAGAACTCTGCCTGGAATATTCTAAGTGCTCTATAAATATTTGTTAAAGAGATAACTGTAGCTGATTCACTCGGCTGTATAGCAGAAACTGACACAACAGTGTAAGGCAATTATACTCCAATAAAAAAATAAGTTTAAAAGAGGTAACTGTATTCTCTTAGAAGGATTTTTGAACATTTGCAATGTGATAGAAAATTGATACATTTTGCCAGAGTTATTACAGTTCAGGGGTAAAAGGTGTATGTCTTTTACTAATTATGAAATTATGACAAGGATATATTGTATACCACAGGGAATACAGTCAATATTTTATATTAAAATAGCAATGTATTTTATAATTATAAATGGGGTATAACCTTTAAAATTGTACACTTGTAACTTACACAATATGGTATATCAATTATATTTCAATTTAAGAAGAAATTATGTACAACAGTAAATACTTGTTGTACATAGTACATATGTATTAGCCGCTCAGTCGTGTCTAGTACTCTTTGCGACCCCATGGACTGTAGCCTGCCAGGCTTCTCTGTCCACGGGATTCTCCAGTTAAGAATACTGGAGTGGGTTGCCATCTTCTTCTCCAGGGGATCTTCCTGACCCAGGGACCAAACCCAGGTCTCCTGCATTGCAGGCAGATTCTTTACCATCTGAGCTGCCTGCAAAGCCCCAAAGTGTCTGCAGCTCAAGACAATATATTCTGGTTTCCTTAACATCTAAGTCCTTTACCTGGGGTTTGCTTCTGATGGAAGGAGGGACACCTTTTGCTGCCATGATGGGCTGGATAGGCAGAAGATACAATGGGTGCAGGCCAGTGTCTGTTCTTTTCTCGTGTGTTGGGGAGATGATTCTGCTCTTGCCGGATGGTATGTAATCTCTCCATGAACAATCTAGCAAGCTCCACTGAAGTTGAGGGTGGAACTTGGTAAAAGCCATGTAGTATATAATATAAATATTATATGCCAGCATCATAACCTTACTATTATTTAACAACTGTCTCTTCTTTACAAAAGACAGTCTGCTGCATGATAGCAGAAACCCTCTAATTTTATTAGTTGGCATCTCCTTCACTTGGGTATTAGACCATATGAAGTCATCCATCCCTTGTTACTCTGAAGGGATTGGTTCTTGGACCTGCCTCTTCCCCTGGATACCAAAAACCCATGGATGCTCAAGTTTCTTAAATTTGGCTTATTATATTGAGGGTTCCACATCAGTGGATACAAAGGGCCAATTGTAAACAAATCAGTCTGAAGAAAAGACTTCCCAGGTGGCACAGAGGTAAAGAATCAGCATGCAACGCAAAAAATAAGGGAGATGGGAGACAAATTCACTCCAGTATGCTTGCCTGGACAATCCCATGGACAGAGGAGCCTGGCCAGCTACAATCCATGGGGGTCACAGAGTCAGACACAACTGAGCACACACACACATGCCCAGAGACTTACTAAGACATCCAGGCTCTCAAGACAGTTCTCATTTTTAATTTTATTTTGCAACAAACTAACATTCTAGATGACTGATAATTACGCATTTGCAAATTGAAGTTACTGTCAACTTCACTCTCACATTCAACATCAAACGACTGGCAACTCCAGTAGCTTTATTTTCAAAACGTATTCAGAATCAAATCACTTCTCACAATATGGTTGACCCTTGAACAACATGGGTTTGAACTGCGTGGATCCACTCATACATGTACATGGATTTTTTCACGGTTGAATCCACAGATGCAGAGGCCTGACTGTAAAAGTTATGCATGGATTTTTGATTGTTCAAGGGCTACAGCTCCTAACCCTTGCATTGTTCAAGGGTAAACTGTACCATTTCCAGAGTACTGCTGACAAGAAACTGAATACTGGCAGTCTCTATAAAGAAGCAGTACTGAACACTCATTTGGGGCAAAGGAAGATATTTCCTCTGAGCCATTTAGGTACACAGGCAATACTGAAATTCAGACTATATCTTACCCTCAAGAATGAGTAAAATCTTGATGCACTGCTTGAAACTGTACCCATTTTTAAAACAATTTTATTGATCACTTACCATCGATCAGACATTGCTAAGAACATATTAAGTCTCTGACTCCCAAATTAGCCACATAAACATTTTATATTAAAAGTAAAAACTGCTGGCAAAACTTAGGGATGAGCACCTACTCATATTTAATCAGGATTGGTTTGACTGGAAGAATGGGAGCTTTGGTTGAGAAAGGTAGAAGCAAGGGAGGAGATATTAGGAAATGCTAAAGTATGGACAACTTGGGGAAAAGATTCTTGGATGGGGTGTTCTGGTAGTATACAAGGCAAAATCAGTCATAAATGTTGAGTCAAAGTTGAGGACAGCAAAATGACAGGCTGATGAACAAAAAGGTATATGACTTGGGATGACTTACGTAAACTCTAATCTTAGCTTTTCCTCAAATGCAAAATGGACACATTTACTGCAGAATTCTGATGAGGATTAAACAAGCACATGAAGGACTTAACAGTGAACACAAGTATATGTTGAATAAAACTTCCTTCATTAATTCTCCCACAGTGGCTGGTCCTCTGTTCCCAGAGTAGTACTACATGTTTTTGTAGACTGGCCTGGGAAAGCTGAAGTTGTCTTCATTATTTGATATTCCCAAATCAACATACTAAAAAGGTTAAGTTCTCAGATTATTTTCGGCAGTTTCTGAAATTAAAAATTTTGAAATAAGAACCTTGAAGACATTATAATATAAAAAGACAGGCAGTTTCTTAATCCTGTATGCTGTTGGATATCATACTTGTAGTGAAGAGGCAAAAGGGAAAAAAAAGAGTTCCATAAACTCTATGGGGTTAATGATTTTTTTTTTTTTTAGGGAGTACTCATCTACAGATACAATGTTACAAAAAACAAGTCACATGCTGATTGCAGCATCCTAGTAACAAGACACTAAGGGTCACTAACATGAAATAAACTAGCAAAAAATTCTACTTATTAAGAAAAGAGTGACTATATTTCTCATAGATTAAAAAAATGAAACTTTTTTGGCGCTGAAAAAAAAATTGACTACATTGTATTTCATAACAACTATAACATCCAGAGTTGCAAAAAGAAACCTAAGAGTGTATTTTTTTTTTAAAGCAGAGGGTTCTCAAATTGCCAATATTCTAAGAGTACAAATAAGAAAGCTACGTCAAAATTTGGGCTTTTTCTTATTTTCGAGGAAAGCAACAAAGGCAGGATCACCTCATCGGATAGTACTCCGAAAAACAAAGGCGAATGCCTGGGGCGGGGGGGAAAGCTACGCTACAAAGAAATGATCCCAAACTAAGACCACTTAACACTACAAAAATTCACAGAGGTGACTAAATATTTTAGTTAAGGTACTTATCAATTGTTGCTTCATTAAAAACTCCCCGCTGTTTCAACGACGTGTCAATCACAAAAGTACCAAGCGAAGATAAAAAAGCATTAAATCCACTTCCCCTCAGTTGATATATACCTCCGGGCGAGAGTTCCATTTTTAAAGAGCAGTTTCAAAATCCTTAGCGGGTCCGATTTGGGGCTTTCTGATCGGGGATGGGGGGTTGCCACAGAAAAAGAGCCAAAGAGAAGTTTAAGAAAAAACAACTGGCTTTTTCCCAGTTGGCAAGTGCGAGAATAAAGTTTACACCCCTGAAAATGAGTACACGGATTTTCAAGACACAAATTCTTATCAATGAAAAGAAAATGAAAGGAAGAGCATCTGGAGAAAATCAAAGTAAAATGAAAGCGAGACGGCTGTAAAAATCAGAAGAGGTTAATCGAGAAGCGGGGGAGGGGATGCGGGAGAGAAAGAAAGCATGGGACAAAAAGGCTCGCCGAGTTCTAAAAAAACATTTGAATGAAAGTCTTTTCTCCAGGCCGAAGGCCGCCGAGGGCCTGGGACGAGGCCAAAGGCCACGCTGTAGGGGCAGTTACGGTGTACGGACTAATTTAGAGGCTGAGCCCCGTCTCCTTCCATTTCGTCCTCACTGCCTGGGTCTCGGTCCCTAGACATCCAGGTGAGCTCCAGAGAGGGTAACCTTGCTAACGCGGGGTCCACGGGGAACAATAGACTGGGGAGCGGCGCAGAACCAAAGGCTCGCTCCGGGACGATCACCATCCCGCCCCCCTCATCGCTGCCCCAGACTCACAGAGTCTTAGGCATTTCGTCCTCCATGGCTGCTGCTGTCGCGGCGGCGCCTCCAGGTCCAGCTCCCTACCCTTTACTACCTCACAAATCTTTTGAGCGGCTATGGCTGCGGGATAGCTGGGTTTCTCGGCTGACCGGAGGTTACCCCGCCTCCTTCTTCGGCGGCAATTACCCTAAACTGCCGGGCCCAGCGCGAACAATGAAGCCCCAATACAAGATGGCGGCGAGCCGGCAGCCTTGGAACATCCAGGGAAGTGACCCGGGCCGCGCAGGCGCAGAAAAATTTTGCACTTTCAACCTCCCGGCCGCCAGGCTACACCTCAGTCCATATATTCACTTGTTGCGCAGCCGTGCTTCCAACGACGCCAGGGGGTTGTCTAGGACTGCGCAGGCGTAAAGGTTAGCTGTTTAATAACTTGAGTCAACATTTTTTAATTCCACCTCCAGATTCGAATGTGTCAACAGTGATTTATAGTAAAATATAAATCTTCATGGAAATGAAAAATTGTGTTTCCAGGAGAAGAAAGACTATAAAAATTACGCAAAGCGGGGACAAAAACGGCGTGCGCCGCCCGGGAATCGAACCCGGGTCGCAAGAATGGGAATCTTGCATGATACCACTACACCAGCGGCGCTGACGGAAACTGGTTCTGCTGAAATACCTTAGGACCAAGTACACGCGGACGTTCGTTCCCAAATGAGGAATATTTATTCTTTTAAAAATAGAAGTTTACCGAGAGTCTATATAATCTGTTACTTTTCAGGTAAGAGATGATTTCGTTTCTTTCATTTTGGTACGGTTGAATGGATGTCCCTCCTTTTTCTGTATGGAAAAATCTCACTTTAAAAAAATTTTTTTTTTTTTTAAACTTAAAAGAGTTTCCGGGAATTTCCTAGCAGTCCAGTATTTAGGACTCCACGCTTTCACTGCCGAAATCAGATTTAATCCCCGGTTCAGGTTCCTCAAGCCACGCGGCGCAGCCGGAAAAAAAAAGTAAGAGTTTCATTAAGAATTTGTCATCTTGGTGTTAACAAAATTTTTGAGCCAGGAATATATTTCCAGATCTTTGAGGAATTTTTCTTTATATTTGAATTTCCTTGGTATAATCAATGTACACTGGAAAATATTTAAGAAAGTTATTTAATACAAATCAATCCAAGAGTTCTAAAACTGAAGGAATAAGAAGATATACAAATTTTAACCTCTTCCAGGGACGCAGAAAAATTATGTCAGTATACTCATTATGCATTTTATATTGCATTTTAAGTTATGTAAAAAATTTTTTAAACATTGGGAAGTGTACATGTCCAAAAATGTGATGTTTTCTTTGAAGTAGTTCATTTAGACTGCAGCACTTTTAGATAATCGTTTTTGAAATTGAATTTAGAATTTGTGGTACATTCTTGGGATTTTATTCAGAGACATCAAATATTAATATTTTGAGGGTGAACAATACAATTGAAGTGTATAATCCAATGGTTTTTTAGTATATTTACAGAGATATGCAGCCACTCTATAATCAATTTTAAAACATTTTCACCCCTCACCAAAGGAAACCCTTACCAATTAGAAGTCACTCCCAATACCCCATCTCACTTCTCCTCCCCAATCCACTAATCTTTCCTCTGTATAGATTTGTCTGTTGTGAACATTTCACATTGTCCACAAAAAAATGATTAATGGTTAATCTAAGAAAGAAATAGAGGAACCTCCTTGGTGGTCCAGTGGTTAAGACTCTGTTCCCTCATCAGGGAACTGGATCCCATGTGCCACAACTTAGAATTCAAATGCCACAACTAAAGAGGCCACAGGCCACAACTGAAAATTATATATATATGTGTGTGTGTGTGTGTGTGTGTATATATATATATATATATATATATATATATATATCTCCTGCATATGGCAACTAAGATCTGGTCCAGCCAGATATTAGAAAGAAATAGAGAATTTTATTTAAGCCAATTTATAATCAAGAGGCTTAAAACCCGGGAGCAGTCTTCCAGCAAGCTCTGAGGACTTTCTGCCCATTAGGGGTTAATTGCACAGGGCTGCCCCATGCTGGTGAGGGAGCTCCAGCCCTTGTGCACTGCCTTAGGAGGCCACCTGGGCCTGGCGGGCCCAATCAATGGTGGATCTGGAGGTGGTGCCTGAGCACTCTCTGGGAAAAGAGCAATATGTATTTGCACTGGTCTCCTCTTTTAAGCATGACCTCATCCTTAACCTGACTCAGGAGAGGATCAAACTACTGTTTGAAGCTTTCAATCAGAGACTTAAGGTGATTCAAATTTACCACTTGACTAAAGTACAGTTAAACTATTGTGGTGTGCATTTTAATTGTGCAGATTGACCAGTCTTCGGTGCAACCCATCCTGGAGTGGACAACTCCACTGCACAGCTCTTTCAGCTCAACCTCAGAGGACTGTCTTTCTCTTTTCAGCTAGACTCATGCACCAAATTTCTCAAGTATGAGCCCAATTTTGCCCATGTTCTGGCTTCTCTCCAGGTACCCCACAGAGCAACTGTGAGATGAATTTACATGTATAGTGGAAACAGCCTACAGGATACCAAGGCTCCCATGATGCCCCTGAGATGTTTCCTGGGCAATATGTATGCTGAGAGTGTAGATAATCTTTGATATGGAAGTGGATCCTCAGGTTTACAACTTTGCCTACTTGCCGCAGGTTGTGGACCCAACTTATTACCAGATGGCCCAGATGCAGGTATTTGAAATCTTAGTATATTTTGGCGATTCCTGCCAAGATGTTCTTAGCACGCTTGGCTCTCCACACAAGGTCTTCTACAAGTCAGAAGACAAGATGAAGATTCTTTCTCCTTCGCCTCACAAGCAAGTTCCATCCAAGTGTAATGACTGTATGCGCTTCCTGCCAGGCCTAGTAGGCACACCCAACTGGTTGAAATACAACTTTCTACCATCAAGGTATGTGCCCAGGCCTGGTTCCCCAGCCTGAAAGGTTGCCTGTTTCCTAAATCTTCCCCGATCTGGTTGGTAGGACTGCTTGTTTCCATCCTGTTTGCCTCTTTCATTTGATGCCAAGGTTTTAGTAAAGGCATCTTCCTTCTTTTGTGTGTGTTTCAGCATTCTGTTCTGCACTGTTCTGCCCTGACTCTGGACAGTGTCTCCTGGCTAGGCCCATTCATGGTGCAAGGCCTCTGGGGTTCAAGGAGGTTTGGGCTGCTCATTCTCTCTGTGGGATTTGCTAAAGAAAGTAGCATATGTAAAAAAAAGAAAAAGAAAGTAGCATATGTGTTTTAAGAATATTAATCCTTTTGAAAAGACTTGAGAAGTTTATAATTTTACCCTGTTTTTAATATTTTGGCTTAGCAACTTGTGACACATAGATGAGAATTTTGAGAGTTTTTCATCTTTGTGTACCAATTTTTGTTAAGTACAACTCAGATGCAGATTAAGGATTAAGAAAGAAATGTGGGAATTCCCTGGTGGTCTAGTGGTTAGGACTCAGTGCTTTCATTGCCCAGGACTGTGTTCAATCCCTGGTTGGGGAACTAAAATCTTGCAAGGTGTATGGTGCAGCCAAAAAATAATAATAATAAATAAAATAGGAACATTTGAGCTGGAAATGAAAACCCTCTTCAGTAGAGGAGGAAAAGAAATAAAACACCCCCATGCTCAATACCTCATGTTATATCCTAAGGAATCACTTTTCTGGTGCCAGAAATAATTGCTCTTTACCATCAAGCAGGAATTCCTGTGTCTTTTAAGGAAATCTAGTTAACACATAATTGCGGAAGCAGGGTGCACTCTAAAGAGAAGTAGCGGCCTAAGTGAGCAGAAAGAGTTTTATGTTTAAATTTTTTTTGGCATGCCTTAAAAATGATTTTATTTCATCAACTCCCTCTTTTGATCCTTAATCTTTTGATAGAAGGCATTTGATTATCAAATATTTGGTCCCTTGATGCCACCCAGAATGGTTGCTTACCTAGGTCCATCATATCCCTCCATTCCTGGTTCTAAAAGCCTGCTCTTTCTTTCCTTGTAGGGGGGATGGTACTAGTAGAGGCAGAGAAGGCAATGGCAACCCACTCCAGTACTCTTGCCTGGAAAATCCCATGGGCAGAGGACCCTGGTGGGCTGCAGTCCATGGGGTCTCGAAGAGTCGGACATGACTGAGCGACTTCACTTTCACTTTTCACCGTCATGCATTGGAGAAGGAAATGGCAGCCCACTCCAGTATTCTTGCCTGGAGAACCCCAGGGACGGGGGAGCCTGGTGGGCTGCCGTCTAAGGGGTCGCGCAGAGTCGGACACGACTGCAGTGACTTAGCAGCAGCGGCAGTACTGGTAGAGGGGCTTCCTCTGTGGCTCAGTGGTAAAGAATCTGCCTGCACTACAGGAGCCACAGGAAACTTGGGTTCATCCCCTGGGTTGGGAAGACCCCCTGGAGGAGGACATGGCAACCCACTCCAGTATTATTGCCTGGAGAATCCCATGGACACAGAAGCCTGGTGGGGTAGAGTCCATAGTGTCTAAGAAGGGTTGGATAGGACTGAAGCGACTTAGCATGCACACATGTACATATTGGTAGAATGTCTGGCAAGGACTGACAGTCAATTCCAAATTGTCCAATAGAACTTAAGCCAGTTTTACATTGTGTAGGCATTGTGAATGTTCATTATTTTATAGGGAACTATAGGTGTGATTAATAATTTCAAGCAGTTTAGATGTTACTATCTCAGTAGAAGTTGGTGATACATAGCATGAAATGCAGGAAGCCATCACTTTATAAGTCACACAAGCTATAATCAAAATTACCGTCAAGAATAACAACAACAACAGCAAAAAAGAATAACAATGTCAGGGACTTCTCTGTGCTCCAGTGGCTAAAACTCTGGGCTCCCAATGCAGGGGGCCTGGGTTCGATCCCTGGTCAGGGAATTACATCCTGCATGTTGCGACTAAGACACAATGAAAATTGAAGATGCCCCATGCTGCAACTAAGACCTGGTGCAGCCAAATAAATAAATATATTAAAAAGAGTAACAATACCATTAGTAAAGATACGACCTCTTCCTTCCCAAACCAAACCATTTTCCTTGCATCTCCCCTAAACGCAAAAGAAGGTCATTCAGAATGGAAATTGGAGTCTTCATTTGTGTCACAATAAGGGTTATATTAGCCTCTTGGGAAGCAGTTAAAATATCAAGGGCTACAGGATTTTCTCATGGAAACTTCTGAATTAAGCAAGCTAATGGCTTGGTTACTATCATTTAAGGCTTGCTGGGTGAATTTTGTTAAAGTTTCTGTGAATAATGACATCTTCTATTTCAAATGAAGGAATAAATATCGTGACTAAGTGATCATACCAGTGGAAGACTGATTGATCCCTGTGTGTTCACTTTAAAGGCAGATTGATGGGGCAGTTTCAAAGGCTACCTCCTCTAGGTGACCTTGAGCATGAGTAAAACTGAGTGCATGTTTCTAAGCAGCCTGGGGAGAGCCAAGACCATAAATTTGTTCCATGAATCCACTGGATCTTAGTAGGAGCTAACGAATGTATTTAGCATCTAGTGAGAAGGAGTTTGGCCATATTCCAAACAAATGTCATTAACTGGCTGGGTAAGAGGGTCCCACTTAGTGATATCAGCAGTAGCTTATACAGTCCTAGAGTATCTTTC